GCTGGGCGCCGCCCGCCAGCCGGGGCCCCGGGTGGCCGCCGGAAGAGTCGGTGCTGGACTGGCGCGAGTGGGAGCCGGAGTCAGGCTCTTTGAAGAACGATTCGGGCAGGATCTTCTTCCGCCACGAGCTGGGCTTGGGGTTCATGACCGAGTTGAAGAGGGCTTCGAGGTCCGTGTCTAGGTCCGGCGTGACATGGATCACTTGCTGCCCGGGCGGCGGGAGCGGATGGGGCGCTGAGGCCGGATTCATCTTCTACAAGGAAAAAGGTCAGATCAGCGCAGCGAAGCCAAGTCTGGGCGTGCGGGGCAGCCGTCGGGCCTGGGTCGCTCGGGGTGCGTCCCGATCTTGCAGGATTGGAGCCGGAGCCCGGTTGGCAAATCCGGACCGGCCTCGGTACCTGGCAGGCGAGGAGCTTCGGCTTTCACATCCCCCAAACTCTTACTTCATTTCTTTTTAATCTAAAGACTGACCACTATCATTTGAGCCTCTCTTCCTCAATAGTTCTTACGTGGAAGGAAGGATGGAAGGGAAGAAAGAAAGAAAAGCAGTCCAGAAGGGACTTGCTCTTTATTTCTTGGGGGGAAAAAAGAAATCCATACATATCAACCTGATTTCTAAACTTGATAAGTAGCCTTACTTCTGGTTTTATTCTCTGCATATTCTCCATTGCTCGCACATAATACGTGATCAATACTTACTTTTTAAGCGAGAAAAAAGAGAAAGCTTTATGCTTGTTTCAGGAGCAGAAGATTAAGAAATCAGGTACAGAGGGTAAGTGAGCAGGTAAAAGATGAGATTCTATCTTTAAGAGGCCAAGAGAGAGTCTCTGGTACTTAGGATCAAAGAGTCTCAAGTAGGAAAAAAAAGGGGGGGTGGGGGAGAATAAAAGGCAGAATCTAGAGAGCTCACTGGAGAATGAGAACTGTGCATGAAGTTTCAATGTCTAGAGCAGTGCTTCTCAACCTTCCTAATGCCATGACCCTTTAATACAGTTCCTCATGTTGTGGTGACCCCCAACCATAAAATTATTTTCGTTGCTACTTCATAACTGTAATTTTGCTACTGTTATGAGTCGTAATGTAAATATCTGATATGCAGGATGTATTTTCATTGTTACAAATTGAACGTAATTAAAGCACAGTGATTAATCACAAAAACAATATGTAATTATATATGTGTTTTCTTAGACGACCCCTGTGAAAGGGTCGTTCGACACCCAAAGGGGTCGTGACCCACAGGTTGGCGACCACTGGTCGAGAGGCTTGATTTCCCACACCTCCTTATTTGTATACTTGAGGCCCGATGCACAAAATTCGTGCAAAGGGCTTGGCCCTTGCAGCTGCGGTGGCTTGCCTAGACACTCGTAGCCCCAGCTTCGTCTGGAAGGTCGTTTGGCTATCCAGTCGAATTAGCATATTAGGCATTTATTGTTATAGATTATCAAGAGGCCCATTTTCTATTTTTCACCACTGAACTTTCACCCAGATGTAGTCCAATTCTCAATCTATCGTCTATAGAAAAAACAGCAATACCTTGGGACTGGGATAGTACCATTTCCTTCACCCTTACAAGTGAGGAATGGAAACGCTTGACATTAATGCTAAGGTACAAATGTATTTCTGGTAACCCAAACTAATTCAGAACACAATTTTCTTAAGAAAATTTTGGGCAGACATAGGTTATACAGAACTGTCAGACATTATCTTACAAATATATTACAATCAATTAGGATTTTGTGTATTAGCTTGAGAACAACATTACATATAAGACTGTGAAGAAATTTGCCTTGCTTCAAACACCCTATTTTTAAATAAACTTTTAGAACAGAACTCTTCTATAAATCACCCTATTTTTAAATAAACTTTTAGAACAGAACTCTTCTATGATCATCACCATATCATTGAAAAAAAACTATTACATCCATTCAACAAACATTTTATTGAACAGTTATTACTTATATATGCACATTAGGATAAACAAGTATTTCCTTCTTAAGGATTATTACTCAAAATCCAGCTTATCTGTAAGTTTTAGGCATAAAATACACTCATATACATACCTTAAATACCAGTCCTTTGGTGACTTTATCAATACTATAACATCAGCTAATGTTTACACTACTAGCCTTAATCTTTGGTTTCTCTTTCAGTACCATATTTCCACTTACCTCTGCCTAGTTAGCTATGCTATTCTCATTTAATATGCAATAGGTCAAATTATTTAATAAATATCTAAATATATAAGAAAAGTCAGCAAACTATGGCCAGCAGGCCAAATCCAATCCACTACAATTTCCATCATTCATGTACATAATATCTCTGGCTGATTTTATACTAATCACAGCAGAGTTGAGTAGTTGTGACAGAGATCATATGGCATGCAAATATATCTTAATATCTAAAATATTTATTATCTGTACCAGTGGTTCTCAACCTTCCTAATGCTGCGACCCTTTAATATAGTTCCTCATGTTATGGTGACCCCCAATTTCATTGTTACAAATTGAACATAATTAAACTATAGTGATGAATCACAAAAACAATATGTAATTATATATGTGTTTTCCGATGGTCTTAGGCGACCCCTGTGAAAGGGTCGTTCAACCCCCAAAGAGGTCACGACCCACAGGTTGAGAACCACTGATCTATACCTTTACAGAAAGGTTCCCAAATTCTGGCCTAGAAAGTACTGATGCTGTATCAGGTACCAGAGACTACAACTAAATGAACCCCATAACTGTGAGGGGCTTAACCCCACAAAGGAAGAAAGACGGTCTTTGATACCATATTCAGCGAAAGCATAAAGAAAACAATGGTCACCTGGGAGGGGAGGAAGTGACACTAAGCAGTGCCCCTTAAGTATGAAGGTGCAAGAAGAAGGGCATTCCAGAAAGTGGAAACAATGTGAACAATAAAATAAACGCTAAATAGCCTGGCATGTCTGAAAAATTGCAAAGAGGTAAGTACTACTGTATCTAAGACAGCAAAGTAAGAAAAAGGCTGGAAAAGCCAGATCACAGAAGTAACCATGTCATGCTAAGGAATGTGGATTTCACTCTTTAGGAACAGGAAACTTTAAAATGTCTTTAAAGAAGGCAGGTTTCATAAATTTGTTTTCAATGTTCAATCTATCTTCAATGTGTGAGATAATTTAGAAGCAGAACAGAAGGGGGCCAGGAAGATCATTTATAAGACTTGTGATAGTCGAATTGAAAGACAATGAATATCTAGTTGAGGCATTAACACTATGAAAAAAAAGGGATATTTATTAGACACAGGGAAACAGAAATGACTATACATAATCTCTAGTTAGAAAACATGAAGTATAAGAAAAGATGTCAAAAATAATTCTCAGTTATCTGGATGAATAGAAAATGACGTCATTCACCAAAAGAAGGACTGGGGGGG